ACTGTTTCATTTTGTACCCAGTTATTAATGTGAAAGCCCTTGGCATTAAATTGATCCATTCAATGTAACAATTGATTGATTAGAAATAAAGTTATATGCCTTTTTAAGTTACTATGTCCTTATGTGACAAGACTTTTGTCAATGACTGTATAATGGGCACCATGACACATCTAACCACAATCCCGAGACAAGAGGAGTGTCGCTCACCCAGCATCGCTGCTGTTCCCGCATATTAAGGCGTCCTTCGCTCCTTCCACCTTGTAGTAGTTATCTGTGGATACAACACCAGAAAAAGCATGTAATACCTGTAATAGAAGCTTCCTGGTATAATTCTCAACAATATTCAGGCATGGATTTTCTGCTCTCTGCTTCATTTGAATTTCATTTTAAGTCTTTTTTTTTTTTTGTTTGTTTAGTAAATTCATGGACGCATGGAAACACTGCGCTAATAATGGAAGCCTTCTGTTAAGTCACCCTGCGTCACAACAGCTGTGTGGTCAGAATGAGGACCCTGAGAGTTATGTATGCAGAGATGTAACAGCATCGGTGTGAAAAGTAAATGCTAATCCAATTTCATTGTTAACTGCAAAGCCCTGAAAGACCTGGCTGTTGATGGTGAAGGGATCCACAGGAGGCAGAAGTGGGGTATTTTTGTCAGAACACCTGGGATGAGACGGAGAGGTAACCTGCGTAACATTTAAAATCGCAGCTTTGGTCTCTGGCTTAACTGAATATAGCGTAAACACATCAGAACCAGACCATTTCTTCTGGATGCTCTCCTTGCTGTGACACCGCATACTGAATGAGTTACAGGTGTGTAAATGGTTTTGTCCCCCCCATCTTCACCCCTGCCCTGAAACATCTACGCAGTCCTGTGCTTTCACAGAAGATCTCGTGGTTTCTGTGGTGTCACCTTCATCGTTCAGGAAGTCCTCAAGGGAGTCCCAGGTTCGGTTGTCACACTGGAAGGTGTCGCTGCCGTTGGTGGTGGCATTGATGCAGTGTTCGGGGTTGCGGATGCATTTCTGCCTCAGCATGCCCATGAAGAGCTGCAGGCCGATGAGGGCGAAGACGCTCAGGCAGAACATGGTGAGGATCATGACGTCTGCAAGCTTCTTCACGGACTGGATCAGGGCACCCACGATGGTTTTCAGGCCTGAGATGGGAGAGCAGTTTGGTTGCGTGTTTGGGGGTTACGTGGGAGTCTCCCAGTCCTATTTATGATTGATGAAAGAAGTCGTAGGTTGGTCAATAGTTTAACATCACTAACACCTGCTTTGATGTGCTATTTTCCCTACAAGGAGTTGCTGAAGTAACACCAACACCATGCTGAAGTAAACTGTGCCAGTGAAAAGTTACTCCCAACAAATAACTACTTCTCCTACTTTTCAACTTTGATTGTCATTTTCTTTGTGGTTTTAGTTGTCTGTCAAAGAGGCCACACACCCATGCTGTGACTCAAAAAAACATTCCAGTACTTTCTGAACGATGCGGTTGCCGTTGAAGCTGTTACACGGCAGGGGTATAGGAGAAATACATTTGAGACACTTTTTTAAAAATCTGTAATTGCATCGTAAATCGCAGCATAGCTGAGCAACAAAATGCCAGGGGAACACATCACCTCAGAACAGGCCAGCTAGCTGACTTCTGTCAAGAAGATGTTCTACAAAGACCAACATCTTCCTGTTTCTTTGAGCAATTGGGCATTTTATAGTCAACTGATATGTTGGTCAATTACAAGGAAATATTATACTGCAGCTATAGTTCTAAATGATTTGGTGTAATGCTCTTTAAGAGGCCAAATTAAGTAAACAATATGTCTTGTAGGGCTGCACGATTTGGGGAAAATATCGAATCGCCATTTTTCTGACAGAAATTGCGATTACGATTTGATTTGCGATTTAATTTTTTAATGTCAAGCTTGATCAGTTCAATATTCAGTGTGTAGTCATTTTAAAACATATGACACAGCATGAGATACCATCAGTATTAACTGGTCTATATTCTAATGCAAGGATGAGAATTTAAAGATGTGATGTGTCAAGTTAAACAAAGTAATAATGAAAACAATTGCAGCAAAAAGAAAAATAGCGATCTTGCAGGTAACGCTTATTACCATCCTAATAACACTAGAACCGCCTTATCCCACGCCAATGAACAAGCAAGAACTACTTCGGTGTATGCAGCCCTTTTGTTTGCGCTATTGTGTTGTTAGCTACTGTTATAACACTAATAACACTCAAAAAACCATAATGTTCATAACAGAGTGGCTGTTCTGTCCTGAAACAGTAAAGCTAGAAATTTTTTATCGTAGTATGCATTTTATAAAATGTTGAATAAATAGAAGTCGTTTATTGGTGATTTCATGTTGGTCGAAGTTTCCGCATTTTAACAACTGTATACGCTATTTTCTATACAAATCAATTCAGGTGAAACAAAAAATGTACGTGTTCATGGTTGCAAACTCTTTCAGACGGCAAATCTATATTCCATTCTAAACTTAAAACTAGCTGCATCAAAAACGTTACGGCAGTTTGCAAACCCTACAGACTATTTACAAGGTAATAAAACTTACATACATGTAATTGTGTGTGCAGAACAGAGAATAGAAAATCTAACTCCATGCAGCTGACCGAAGTTGCCAACCCTGCATTTTATTTTAAATGAGAAGTAAAATGCAGTTTTCGACTGAAGCAGCTTATCATTCCTTTGCATAATTGTTACTCGGACAAATACAAAACAAATGATTAAACAATATATGCGTCGCTTTTTGTATGTTTTCTAAATAAGACCGCGTGCCCATACCCAACTGTAATAGCGATTAAAGCGATCTATTCTTTTAGTATTTATGTTAAAGCAAGACTTTTATTTTATTACTGTTGTTGGATTAATCTTTCGAAACACTTAAATTTAATAAGCACAAAAACATATGACATAAACACCACTGTATTATGGGTTTTATGGCTTTTTTGGGGGGTCACCGACTCCGCTGCTGAAAGAATTACTGACTGTCTCATTGTTGTTTTGATGGGTTAGCGGTATACTAATGCTATTACCTATTAACAAAAACCAAAGGTATGATACGCTGAAGTATACTGCAGCTGGTGTTTAAAAGGAGCTCGCCGATTCTATTGATGATAAGACCTTTCTGAAACAATCTCGGACCATGAAATAGGAAGGCAATTCACTGATAGCTCAGTAGCGGAATCAGTATTTTTCCGTACCGCGAATGTAACATTTTCCTTGGGTTTCACGTGTTTGCTGTTTGTGGGCCTGTACGCCTTCTTGGGCCACTTGTGATTGGTGAGCATGACTGGCAGGCGATAAGCACGGTGCTTGTGATTGGTGAGAATGACTATCACACAGGGAGCATGGCATGAATTTGTAAAACTATTCTCACAGCAGTTTTAAACCCTGGGTCCGACGTGCTGTATAATGTATATCCTAATTCGCGATTTTTATGATTTGCTAATCGCGTTGTTTCAAATCGCGATTTCGATTTGAAATCGATACATCGTGCAGCCCTAATGTCTTGTACAATCAATGCACTTAGCCAGTAATATGTCATTTGAAATGCCTGTTGTCCAAACATTCCGCTGTACCTTTGTTTTTTTGTTTTCCTCGTGACTAACCGTATGCACATGTTTGTGTAATCTGGGCCGAGTCTGCCCAGGTCACCAGAGAGCTGTGTGCACACCGAGCATTAAGGAGTCACTTTGGGTTTTAGCATTTACAGTGGATGGTTTGGGCCAGAGTAGGTCAGCCATCCAAGCTGTGTCAGCTGTGCTCTGCCCAAGCTTAGCCTTGAAATAGGGCATATTAGGGTTGGTGTCATGGGGGGTGGCCATGCACCTCCCAGGGCTGGACACTCATTTATTCACTTGTCCCACCTCTGACTGATTATCCATCATATATAAGCTACGTAAGCTATTTGAGTTCTACACCCCATTGTCCAAGCCCACGTCTCTTCTCAACCTTTTCTGAAATCCAATGCCCATTTACCGTTCCGTATTTTCTTTCCCCCATCCCTGTGTCATATGCTTCAGTTCTCCGTCCATCCCAGACTAAGTTGTGCCGAATCTTATTTTAATAAAGTTTTCTGTATTGTTTTTGTACCCTGCACGGGAATTTCCATAGAGACGAGAATGAAACTCGAATGATGCCAATGTATTCTGTTAACACTCATTTACATATAAATGACAATGATTCTCTAACTAGCCATGACTGATAGATGTTACTCGCTCAGCTAAAATGATGTAACAAGATTCTCGCTCATGTTACCTCAAATAACCTGTGTAGTCTCGGTTGTATTGCCTTATAGAGACAGGCTGTACTCCAACCTCATGCCCTTTGCTGCTTGGGATAGACTACAGGCCCCGTCATGTCCCTGACCATAAGAGGTTAGAGGATGGATGGATGGATGGATGGCTGTGAAGTACAAAATCATTAACCTTAAGAGTAGGCTATATGCAGAAACTGAAATCCTTGGGATATGGAGCAGACCCATGGAGTGACGAGTCAGGGAATTTATTTGGCACCCAATAAAAAATTTATCCAAGGCAATACTGTAATAGAGAAAATTCAGCATTTTGAAAGCCTTCTGGGAAATGCTGTGTTGCTCTGTGGTCCCCACAAAACATAGACCAGCAAGACTCTAAACCTAAGGCAGCACGAGGAGCCTTCCTCTCACCTGGAATGACGGAGATGGTCTTCAGGGCTCGGAGCACCCGGAACGTTCTAAGTGCTGACACATTGCCCAGGTCCACGAATTCTGTGACGTATCTGCAGTGAGTCAAAATAACAGACACAGTGATGGTGTAGGGCAGGGATCTTCAAATCTGGACCTCAAATCCAAATCCAGGCCTTGTTTCCAATGTTCCCAGGTAGTTGGTTTAATAATTACTGATTCTGATTGGCCACAGAGGCTTCATACCCTGCTCACAGGTAAAGAAAGGCTGGAAAATCAGCAGGGCTCGGACCTTCAGGACCGTGATTTGAATAGCCCTGGTGTACGGTCAACCACGCCAACGTAGTCAGGTAGGGGGTACGTTGATGATAACTTAGGGAAGGACATGGGGGGGCAGGATCTTCCACCTGGGCAGCAGCAGCAAATGTACCCTTCTTCCAGAGAGCTCCTTACCTCAAGCTACCTACAGAGTCTCCAGTGCTTTGGGAACCCCGAATTTGACCCTGTTTGAAGAACTGTAATATTATATCAATTCACCTACCAACCTGAGAAAGTAAATAGAAGTTAAAGACTGGAAAACAATTTGTAATACCCTAATGTGAAAGCTTCCCCAGAGGCTGAGTTTCTGTTAAATACACCAGGGAAGTCAAGGTCCTGAACACTGCCACTTTGATTATTCAGCATGACTCTCTTCCTCCTGGGTTCCCCTGCCGTGGGGCAAGGGTATGACATCACCCATGTGCTGAAATGGTGTCCCCTGGAGCCGGTGGACATTCTCCATTTCTGATCTCCCGGTAATTACACCAGGTCTGTGGATTTCTGAACTTTGGCCTTGTCATTGAGCCACATACCTTGAATCAATTGCTTGGTTTCTCAAAAATATGAAAAGTGCAATGTGCAAGTAGAGATACTGGGTTTTTTGCAGCTTTAAAGGTTATCATATTACATAAATGGCGAGAGATAGCATGAAAGCGCTTGCTGTCATCTAGTGATGGTGCATTAACTGGACCAATAAAAATAGCCTAAAATTGGATACTTGTTATACGTTTCCCACTCTGTTTTCCGGTGTGTGAAGGAGGGGCCCATTTCTCTGAGTGATAGAGGTGGTTGGGTTGATTTCCTGTTAATCACAGAGTGCCAGACGTGTGACTGCCCGGCTCAGCGGTCGCTGGGCCCTACAGCACGATGATGGCTTCCTCGCCTTTGCCTGGCCTGTTCCTGCCCTGCTTCCTCCTCTACGCTTCGGCCCCTTCCTGAGCATCACCGCCACGCTTTCTGGCAGCGGACGGGGATTCATTTCTCAGAGCGGTGGCACTCCGCAACCTCTCGCCAGTCTGGATGATGTCATGGCTCCCATCATTTGAATGATCTCAGCCCTCCGTCCTCATTCATCTTGTATCATTTGCTCTCGGCAACATTTTAGGTAGAAAGAGAGCATAAATTCTGCAAAAAGGCATTCCGGTGAAATACACAGAGATTCGGTGTGGAGGTCTTGCTGCTAGTTGATGATTACCTGGACTGCATTAGGCTCACAGAAGGCAGGATTGAAGGAGGGTTACGGTTAAGGTTAAGGTTAGTGTATGGGATGACCTCAGCCAGATACTTACGCCATGATGATCACGCTGAAGTCCAGCCAATTCCAGGGGTCCCTCAGGAAGGTGAATGGGCCGAAGCAGAACCCTCTCGCCAGGATCTTTATCATTGACTCGAACGTGTATATGCCGGTGAAAGTGTACCTGAATATGGAGGGGCGGTAGAAAGAGGGGGAAACTGTAATTTAGGTCCAACCGCAGGCGGCTTCCAAAACGTGGAAGAGAACACATTTTACAGTCTTGTCTCCAGCATGCCACACCTTCTCACTGTTTCCAACACCAAAAAAGGTATGCATGGTGTCACACGGGAAACAGAAGACGGACATGGTGAAGTGGAAAGCGCGCGTGAGGCCGTCAGCCCTGGAGGGATGGATGGCAAGCTTGTGTGGCGTCACTTCTTGATGAGTCAGAGACCATCAAGAAAACAATGGGCACGGATGCGACTAAGTCACTTCTGATATTGAAATCATATGTGAGCTAAGTGGATGGAGACCAGAATGAAGAATGGAGCATTCGGGGTCACGGGATGATATCCACGAGACGCTCTTTTGCTGATCTTCACTTTCATGTATATTTTGTTTATTTGTGTCATACCTCTCAACCCGGTCTACATAGAAATAAAGGCTTTTTTCTACTGCCACTTGGATACAAATAAAACCAAAGCATTTGTACCTTAGTTCTCTTCCACTTCAAAAAAGCAATTCAACCTTATGGTTGAAAAATGCTTGTCTGAGAGGATTCAGCTTCTCTCTATATTCAGATTCTTTGCAATTTCATATGGAAGTAGGTTTAAGGCAGGACACCACGGAAAGCTGCACAGCGTGCTGATCGCATCTCCTGGGTCGGCCCAGGCGCAGCCGGGGGGGGTTGAGAGGTACGAGCTGTTTTTCGGCCAGAGCAGGTAGGGACTCTGGAGTTTCTGCTGCATGCTACGTGCCAGTGAGCCCCTGCAGCCCTCCCCAGCCCAAAACGGATGTCCGCTGAAGGTACATCACTCGTTCTTCATTAAAGGTTAACATGCATGGAGTGTTCACACATTGGACTGGAGGTGGTGGTGCCTTGGGGTATAAGCTCCAGCACAACTTTGCCGACAAGACTGATGTTGGAATACTGCAGACTTAATCAGCCACAGCCCAGAACATGGCTTACATCCCAGACACCATAAATCATCGCTGCATTCTCCTTCCCTCTGACTGCCGGTCATTAGCATGTCACTTGTAAAGATGAGACGTTGCTTAATTCTCGAGACCTTTTTTTCCCCCCTAGATTAGTTTCTGTATAAAAATGTGTGCCACACTTGGGATGTAACCCATGTCTGCCTAAATTATAAAGTAATCAGGATTTGCCAGATCCTGTAATTCCGTTCATTGGTCAATTGTTGTCCTGTATTTTTTCGTATTTCGTCCCTTTAATGAAAATTCTTGAAGGCATAACGATATGTGACATTATACCATGGTTTCATTCCAATGTAGCATAACCAAGTGCAGTTAGCAGAAACATGGGCTTGATACACTGAAACTGTCAACTTACTTGCTAATTGGAGTTCACAAGGCAACAAACACCTGGCAAAGCTTTACATTAGGACAAATAGGGGCACAGTTCAGAAGATCAATGCAAGTCAAAGTGATTCAAGCATTAGCAAACAACAGAAGAATTCAATGAGCAGTATTCACAGCCAGGAGAAGAGTCAGTGTTGAGCCGTGAGGAGTGAGCGGTCTACTTACTCAAGGTATTTGGCCCACTGAGCTGGTTCGGACATGGCCATGAAGCAACAGTTGGTCAATATTGTGCACATGATGAAGAGACTGAACAACGTTGGGAAGCGTCAAGGAAACACAGATGGTGTTTTGAACAGCAAAGACATTCTTCTGTATGTGGGGTGTCTCAAAAAGATATGCATGCCTTCTAATGGAAAGAGGTGCAACTTCAATTATCTGTTCCATATGGTATGCAGAAGAAAGATGGTTTCAGTTTTAGTCGAAATGTACATGTCAAGTACAGTTATTTTTCATATGTCTGCTTTTAATAATAAACTATACATGCATCTCTTGGAGATGCTACATTATCACCAATAAAGATTTGAATGAATGATGATAGTCAATTGTTAAAGAACAAAAAATAAAACAAATATATCTGATTATTTAAGCAAAAAATGAAGTGAAATGGGCTGTAACCCCCTAGGTTAAGTACTGTGTATTTGAGCAGTTCATTATTGAGCAAAACACTGGCTTTTATTCAGTGGCAGTATTCAAATCATTACAAATGAGCCATGAATTGTTAAATTATAGCGCTTTTGAAGTGGAGAGGGTGGCATTTTAATGGTCAGGATTAGTGTTTTCAGTAAACACTGGAGTCTGACATTGGCCAACAAGGTGAACGTATTACATTCATCATGAATGTATGGCTTTGCGTATGTGTGTTTGCGTGTGTGTATTTGTGAGAGATTTATTATTTTCAACTTTCAATCCATTTGGAAAAGGAGTTCTTTAGAGGAATATGTACCCTAAGGACAGTTTCAGAATAAAGAAAAGCTTTTTTAAAAAAAAAAAAAAAAAAAAAAAAAAGAAATCGGGTATTAGGTTAGGTAGGCAGTTGACTATGACTTCAAAACTCATATAATTCAGAAATTGTAATAAGTTATTACTTTTCACGTTTGAGCATTTCTAAAAAAAAAGTTATATTAAAATTACATATTTTCTCAATGTCTTTAAAGTAAAAAAAAAAAAAGATTAATAAAGAATAGAGTCATATTTATAGCAGTGGTGCTTTAAGATGATTGAGCGTTGTAGAGCTTCCTTGGAGCCAGGCTCATGGTCTCCATGCTGGCGCTGATCCAGAGTATGTGTGAGGACCAGCCTCTGACTCCAAGATCTAATAGATGAAAGTCACATGACCCTGGAGCTCCCTGCTCCCCTTTCATTGTGGAGATTAAGCGAGGGATGTCAGGAGAAGAGTAAAAGCTGGGGGGTTGGGGCGGGGGGCAAGTTAAAGGCAACCCCTATAGCTGCCAGTCTACTCCCTGTCAATTTGCTGTTATTGAATAAGTTTTCAGCATGATATTTAGGGAGGTTATAATGAATAATGATTCACTTAGAAATTTTATGAATCAGCAGCAAATCTCAGCCACAGCCAATAGTCTCAGCAGCTGCTCTGAGTTGAGAAATCTGTGCATCTGAAGGCTAGGAGGTTTGTGGGACGAGGCGGAACGTGTCCAGCACCTCGGAGTCCCTCCTGCTAAAACATAGACAGGTTATTAAAGCGAGTGGCATTATTAGCTACTGGGTCTGCCTGGCACCCTCCCACAGATTTGCTGTTGTGTGGTTTTCTCACTGTGTTGCACTTCTCGTTTACTCATGGTGTAAAAACGAGGGCTGTTTACATAGCGTGGTAAAACACAGGAAAGCAGAGTCATCGGCGATTGAAGCCGAGCCTCCCCGAGTCAGACTTACATAACGAGACGAAGGGGGTCAGCCAGTGTATTACCACTCACAGCATGTCCCAGGACCTAGCAGTCACCTCTGAAGTCCTCTGTGTCAGCTGACGGTGACCGACCCACTCCCCTTCACGCTGATGAAAGGATATGAGTGTACTAAAATTCTTATTGAGATTCTTCTGATGGGATGAAAGGGGCTGAAAATATACAGGGCCGAGGTGGCGCTGAACCGGAAGATGGCTTTGTCCTTGTTCAGCACTACGAATGTCTGTGGAAAGAAGGAACAACATCCATTTGACTGATTTATTGATCGATTGATTGCTTTTAGAGGTAAATGCCAGCTTCTCCAGAGAGGAACTGAACTGTCCTGTAAAAGCATATTAGATGTGTCATTTAGAAAAATTCAGCGTGCAAAGGAATCGAGTGCTGTTCCATAGTACTTAAAGAAAAGTTGCGGCCCTTTTATAGACTTACTGTATTTGTTCTTGAAGCACTTAGAAAATTAAATACCAGCTTTACTCGAAAGACACCACACCGTATTATCCTTGTTCTCTCTTTGTGAAATCCATCATTATCTGCCCACTTGTGCCTTAACGTGGAATAATTTGGAGTTGAGTGTCATTTTTTTTCCCAAATAATAATCTACACTTTTTTCCTCATTTAACTATGCATCTTGATAAGTTTTTTATTTAATTGACAGCTATGCCTCCTTTCCCTTAAAGTCCCATTGGGAAATTACCATTATCCTTTATATTCCGAAAGGGCTGGGAAGCAGGACGTCGTCCATTAAGCAATTACAGGTCGGAAAGACACATTTTAGGAAAATCCTTACTGGAGCCACAGACGATCACATGACTTATAGCAAAGGAGATGTTCTACAGAATTTTGTTTCCAGAATCTATTTCTTTTTATAATCTAGCTCTTCTAGTATCGATAAAAATAGCAGATCAGAAATCGTCTATTTTTCCTACGATTTCACCCAGGTCATAACAACGCTGCCCAATTGCTGTGGGGAACCCCTTGCTGATTTGTCAGCCTGCTGTGGACCCAGGCACACCTACAAAGTGTGCATCACATGCCCCAGCACTTACTCTCTGGTTCTTGAAGTAAAACGGGTCAAGGTCTTCCAAAGGTACACCGACAAGCTTGGTGGGGATGTCTCCAAAGATGCGTGGAAGCTGCTTCCCGGCCTCCAGGTCCACCCTGTGCTTGAGCTGCTCCACGTCTCCCATGTCCTCCTGGTACTTCTTGGAGTTCCTCGCATGTTCGTCTGCGATCCGCTGCTCGATGACAGCCAAGGATTCGCGAGTGAACTGCCGCAAGCCTTCGGGTCCGGTTGGTAGAAGCATGGCTGCCATCTTTTCATCCTGATCCTCCTCTGCTAGGCTTTACTTATAGCTGAGAAGATGGGGCCATGGGGAAAGAGGTGAGGCAGTTCAAGAGGTTAGTCATCATGTCTTCCATCCTACCTTGAATTTAACTCATAATCCTACACTTGAGTGAGCCCTGCTGTTTTTCCTTGACAAAAGTTTAATTTAATCTCTGTGTTCATTTGTGCCCCGGCTTCATCATAAATTTATCTTTAATCTTACACACCTTTTGACCCCTTAAGCTATATCATTAGTAGTAGGAGTCACAGTGACATACTGCTGCCCAAAGGTATATTGTACTTAGAAACACATTCTTAGTAATTTAACAGAGGTCTGACCACATGCTAAATCTTCTCACTGAGTGGAATTGAATTGAAATCAAACCAGCTAGCAAGCAATTCAGTCAGTGGGCTGTATTTGTCTCTGTGGAGTCATGTAGTGAAGTTACATGGATAAAAATGTCATATACCTGAAGAGTCAGAGCCAGAGGTGGAGATTTCAGGTCCAGAGAGTATAAATCCAGAGCAAGAGTTTGCTTCAACCAACCAGTTTAGTATAAAGAGTCACAGAGTACTCAACTGGTTGGTTGAAACAAAATATCGGTCTGGATTTGTACTCTCTGGACCTGAAATCTCCACTACTGGTCAGATCACAGCTGTGGGTGAATTTTAACCTGAAATTCAGATTTAAGTTGCCATCATAGCTGGGGTAGCTCGTATCCACTTCTACACACCATTTTTTGGAGGGGGCTTCAGGAATCTATCAAGGCACTGTGAATGTAGAGATTACAACGAGTACAAAGGCTTAATGCTGTTATTTATGTACACACTTTGAGGTCATGCCAGTTTTATTTGGTTTATGTGTAGTTTTGAATAAAATAGCTCACGTTGGCTTTAACCTCTGTGCAGGAGACACAATGTAGTAGAGAGCAAGGGGCCCGATCCTGGTGCCGAATTTACAGCACAGTCATACCGCATCATTTAAATGGCGAAGAATGCACTTAAAGAGACATTCATTTCTGATGCTGATGTTTCTTTGTGGGTGAGATAGAGACTCCATGCTCTATTTTAACTACACGGTCTGATGCGCACTATGCAAATTCTTTTAGGGATGTGGCCAGCTCACTTTTGCTAGTTTAACGGCGGAATAATAGTTGCTGCACCAGGCGCATGGTCCAAAAGGGTTGTACTAAGTCTAGTAATTAATTGTACTAAGACTACAAACTATAGTGTCATCTCCCATTCCCTTTAAGAGCCAGGTGTACTTGCTCTTTGGCCAATATGTATTATAATGGTGGATTTGCCAGGTAGTAGAAAAGAACGCTTCTCTGCAGAGGGACCTACAGCTATAGAGTGTGGCGTTGGACAAAATGTCATTTTTGTACTGCTCAAATATACATTTTTTTTTTTTTAGCAAATTATTATTTATGTTCATGAATGAATAGAAAGTTGCATTTTAGTTTTCACGGAATGAAAGAAAAATAGGCTACTATGCCTAATTTGTTTTTTTACACAGCCAGCCTACCCAGGAACTTTCAGAAGGATGTTAGCATTTCTGAAAGTCCCTCGTCACTCTCATGCGCGCCCGGCTAATGATGGCAGAGCCAGAGTAAAAATCTTAATTTTCCAGAGGATGTAAGGAAAGGCGAATATCTACACTGGGGTTGCCAGATTTTCAATTCGAGACAAGCCTGCACACACATTCACATGTATTTACATGTATGTAACAGTTTTATTATCTTGTAAATAGTCTGTAGGGTTTGCAAACTACCCCAATACTTTTAATGTAGCTAATTTTAGGTTTATAATGGAATAGTATTGATTTCCTGTAAGATTTCTTGCGTGACCATGAGAGTCTGGGAGTGTGAGTATCACACCAGATGCGTGAGAATTGGCAACCCTGCTACTTAATGTCAAACTAAGTAAGGGAGAATCAGATATTTGGCACTCCATTTCCTTGGAAGCGACCACAATGGGAACCATTTGCCTTTTGTCTGCTGTGACAAATGCAACAAAGTGCTATCATACACTGGGTACAAGTCTGGCACTTCAGGGGCACCTATGTTCAGTTTAGAAGGGCCAGACTACACTGACATTCACTGCAAGTGCAAGCAAATCAAAAGTGAAAATTGCACTAAAAAATGAAACAACGCACAAATGCGTGGATTTTTTTTATGCAAATCTACAATCTATTATTGAAAACGTATTGCAGGCACAATATGCCTGTATGTGTCACTAGCCTACTGTTATGTGAAAAACGTAGCCTGTTTATTATTTGTTGAACCTAGCCTAACCTAGCCAGATTTGTCTTTATTCTTTACCTGAAAATGAGTAGTCAAACAAAACATTTTTCTTTTATGGGTGGGAACGGGACAAGACTGATGGTGTGACAATTATTTTACAAAAAACACCTGCAGCCAAGCCAAACAATAAATAAACCATAAATGTCTTGCAGCTCTGCTGGCTGAAGATCCAGAGACTAACTATTGACCATATTTTGGTGTGCACATTAATGATTTTTCACATCGAACACTTTTTATTTTTTATCTTTTGCATGATTATGCACTGCTGTGTGTCCCTGTGAATGTAACAAGCCGTGTACACTTGCTATGCACTTGCCTATGTTGCGACATGTTACTATCTTGATAACACGCCCTTAAAATAACACTGAAACACTGCTGCATTGACTTTAGACCAGATTTTTGTTGGTAAAAAGCGCAATCACTTTCCGATGCATCAAAATAGTGATGTACCAACAATGGACTGACACGTCCACAGGTGCTCAGGTGGGTGCAAGTACATTTGCTATTTAAACAATTTTGGCACTGGACGGGAAAATGACAACTGCGTGGGGCACATGCTACCAACGACACTGGCATCGCCCCTGGAACCACTTTGAGATGCAGAATAGGGCCCTGGGTCTCTTATTTCATGCTAATATTGTTCATAGTTCTTGTGTTGGAATGTGGATGATGAGCTCGAGTTGCAGGTTTGAATCCCTGCACAGCTGTGTATGAGTTTGCATGCCCTCACCATGTTGCATGAGTTTCCTAAGCAGTCCAAAGATTTGCAGTTAGGTGACCCCATTGTTTGTCAGCATGTTTGCGCTTATGGACCGGCATCCCATCCAGGGTGCCCCCCCCCCAACCTTGTGCCCAGTGCTGCCTGGCACAGGCTTCAGGCTGCCAACAACCCTGACCAGGATAAACAGATGGAAGATGGGTGGTATTATAATAGATAGAGTAGCATTATAGAGGATTTATTTTCATATTGATTCAAGAAAAACACAAGGCTTCCTTCCAAGTCCTAAAACAGGCCAGCAAACATGAATTAATTGAACTGAACGACAGTTGAATAGATTTAGTGTTACACGTTTATGAATGTGTAACTTAACTCTGGATGCTGTGTGAGGTATAGCAGTAAATCAATCTGCCCTGACGAATTTGAAAGAAGCGCTTTGATACGCGTGCTGTCGGACTTCTTCTAGCATTATCTGATTTCAGTTATGCTTTTTAAAAAGCTTCCCAGGCAAAACTATTTCATAGCCCCATTGTGCATTGGCTTTTCAAGATGGCTGCATCCATCCAAGGGGTGTAGAGGATAAACTGAGCAGGGATGAAGGTGGATTTGCATGGAAACAAGAATTTAGCAATGTTATCAAAATGTATTAAGGCTGCTGATGCTTCATAGTGTATTGTATTGTGTTGTAAGGGGTGAATGAAATATATTTTTTACTCTGTGAGGGTGCTAAATATCCATGCGTCACCGTGAGAGCAGTGAGGAGGGAGTCCCTTTTTCTGGAAAAGTGATTTATCTTCAGTGGTAACACACATCAGGTTAGATGGTGTGACTGCATTTCCTGTCGACATTGACGGTGGCCATGATCATGCCGCTGTGTGTCGCCGTGGTTACAAGACAGGACACTTCTTGTGTCTGCGTATTTTGCTACCGCAGACCTATTACATCACAGGAAGGTGTGGCCAGTGGAGGTATTGCGGCTTGAACTGGGGATTCCCTTCTCAGCTGCACACAGGAACCGAGGTTTTCCGCTTAAACAAAGAGAAAAATGCCCAGAAGGAAGGGAGACTGATGGATTGTGCCCTGGGGAGGGCCTCAGTACGCAGGAGTTTGACAGAAGGGGGCTTTGGGCTGAACTCCGAGAAGCGGAAGTTTATAACATAGTCACATGAGTATAGTCCCCTCACATGGCAGACAGCACCCCTCCCTCATGCCGCAGATTTATTAATGTTATTTTTTTCCTTGTGAACTTCTTTGCTTGCCAGAGGTGAGCTTTTCCTTTTGATGAAACGCCAATAAAGCACTAGTAAGCCATGCTTCTTTCTGTGTGACCGACAAACACGTACCGCACACTCATCGCCTCCAGCCGACGCACTTCACGGGCCGGTTAGCTATGACCGCCTGAGCTCCCTAGTGGGGAAGGTTCAGCCCTTCTGGTGCAGCGCCAGTGTCACATCTGGGTTCGCACTGCTTGTGAAGCACGCTGATACCATGACAACCTGTTAGGCAGCTGGAGGTTGGGGATCACATGATCCCCAGCAGCCATCTTTAATCCCCTTAAATCTTACACACTCCTGCAATAATTATGTTACTGTGAGACGTCACATTTGCCTTTGGTGTTAATATGACCCCAGGGTAGGTGTGCCAGTTAAGTTTTTTTTTTTTAGCCGTTGGGTGAATATATCTGATATGCGTGACATGGTGATCATCTCCACGGTGTCAAGATTGTTACTGACCCCGGGTGTTTGCCATTAATCTTGTTACATACTTTATAAAGTCTGTGATCTTTTTAGGTCTTTTTGATTGAAGGTCATTGATAATGGTGCTTAAACAGTCTTATAATCATGCCATTAAGGCAAATGGCTTTATTGGGCCTGGTGACCGTGACCAGATAAGGAGTCACAAGTTGGACTGGAGGTTGAATGCTCAATTCAGTGATTGTTTGATTGGTTATTCGGTTGATATGTTGACCGATTGTTGTTTACTTGCTTGATAAAATGAATGATCATGT